AAAAAAAAAAAAAAGAATCACATGAGTTTAAGAGCCGAGTTTAGAGAAGATTCTAAGGCGGGTTTTGCCTGACAGATGGAAGCAATGAAGACTGAAGAGGGCATTTTAGGCAAATAGAACAATGTGTACAACAGCACAGAGGCATGAAAAGGACCACATTCTCTTTGATCAGTCATTTGACATGCATGTGCATGTGCGTGGTAGATCATTTGAATACATTCAAGATCTTGGTTTCCTCTTCCAAAGAAGTCCCAATACAATGTAGCCACAATTATGGGAAAACAGTGTTAATATATCACAGGTGCCTGGTATATTCTGTGTTAAATGAAGAAATGTCAGGTACTGCTTGTGTCTGAGTCAGACCCTCAGGAGGGCAGAGAATGTCCCTCTTGGCATGCTGTGATTTATAGAGCCCTAGAAGGAAAAGTGGTGTCTGGCAGGTTGGTGTAAGTTGGATACATGGAAGGGGGAAGATGTGCCAAGGGCATGAAGAACAGTCATCGATAGACTAAGTAGGAGACAGGCATATTCTTCCTTTTGCAGAGCTGGGGAATTTAACCAGGGTCTTGAACACTCTTGACAAGTGCTCTATCACCCAGCTGTATCCCTAAGAGGCATCTCCAAGGCAGGAGAAGGTGAGCAGGAGGAATGGAAAGGAAGATGTCATTGCTGGATTTGGGTGCCTGGACTTTGACTTTTGTGTATGAATCTACCTAGAAGTTTGTGGGGGAATTCTTAAAGGGTTATTGGCTGGAACTGACAGGATTAAAGTAACTTCCTGCATTTGTAAACGTGGGTGAATTATAAAGAGCTGAACATGTTAAAACAACTACACTTCTCAACACCCTTAGGCACCCACCGAGTGACATACATAGGTAAGGCATATACATATGAATTACTGTGTTTTATACATAGGATATGGAACATACATGTGACCTACTGTGTTCCATATATAGGGTATGTCTTATTCATAAGACCCACTCCTGGCTCTGAAGGGACTTCAAAATGTAAGGCAATCATTGAGAAGAATTCATTGCCCAGTGAACAACAGAATGTACATGTGATAGCCGACCTTGATTGTCAACCTGACACGATTTAAAATCACCCTCGAACCATGAGCCAAAATAAAACCTCCCTTTCTCAAGTTGCTTATGTCAGGTGTATTGTCACAACAAGAAAAGTAACTTGAGGGACAGGCAGAGACAGGGAGCAGCTTACGAAGCAAGTAAGTTAGTTTGGGAACTAAGACCTGATACTGTGGGGTCTGTTGAGGCACAAGTCATAGGAGATGAAGGATGGGTATTGGAGTTCTTACAATGGCAGCTATTGGGACTGATCAAAGATGGCAGACAGGAGCAGACGGAACACCAAACTTGACTAGAATGGATAGTGGCAAAGATTTAGAGTACACATTTTTGAGTGTCCACTGTGCACCAGTCACCATTCTGCTATAGGAGTGACAAGCCATCAGTTGTTCAGGGGCCAGCTCCTGTGCATGGTGCTTATAATCCAATAGAAGACAGCCTATCACCCTTCACTCTAATATTACAGTATTGATCTGCCCATAGGTTGCAATTGATAGGCTATCAGGAAGACGACTAGATGTTCCCATTTTTACAGATACTGAAACTGAGGCTCAGATTGTGAAGAACAGTACCCGGTTTTCTGAAAGGAATTAGGGTGAAGATACTAGAGCAAGGTAGATATCAGCCTGTCCAGCATGGCTCTCAGGCTATGCTAGTGCAATTCTCTGTGGGAATCTCCCTTTTCATCTTCCATACTGATATGAGTTAGGGCCTGAGGTGGTGGCACAAAATGACTTTGCCTTTGTTTTCTTGCATGTTTAGTTGCTCTCTCTGAATATATCAAAATTTCTTAGTCTCACAGAAAAGGAGGAATTTGCAAAAGCCAAATGATCGTGGTGCTCAGTGGTACCCCATTGTCGAAAGAAACCTGGTTCCTTCACAATCACTGTGGCTCAGTGAGACCATAAGCAGCTTTGACAGTTTACATTTGAGATTTTTTAAAACCCCTTTAGAAGGCTGTTAAACCAGCCAGAAAACCTGGAGCCTTTGAGAAACCTCACAGACTAAGGACTCAGAGGTGGCCTGGAAGGAACCCAATGGTGCAGGTGGAGGCTAGAGAGTTGTAGCTCCCCATAGTCTAGGGCTCCTCACCTTTGACTCAGCCATTCTCAGCCTCCACTCACCTTTCTACCTCTTCCTCGTCAACAGGTCCTTAGATCCTTGACAGTTTCAGAGACAGCCAAGAGAAAAAATGCAGAGGTGTCCTGTAAGGGATGCTCTGGCTTGTCACTTAGGGAGTTATAACAGCCTGTGGTAGACACACATGTGTAGATGGGTCAGAAATAACTCTCAGGGCACTTGGCAAGCTCAGAGCACCGTTGGAATGAACCAGTCTAGGGATACTTGAGTAAGCCCAGCTGCTCCATTTTGATAGTCTGCTTTTTTTTCCCCCTCCTGCTTTTGTTCACATTTATGGTTGGCTGTTTCTAACCACCCAGCGGGACCAAGGCTTCCAGTCTGCAAAGGGAATAGAGGCAACAACTCCAGCCACGGAGGCTGTTTCCTACCTACTTAGGTCTTGCAGCTCAGATTTCCACACAGGATCCCTTTCCTGGTTTCTAGACTTTTACAGCCTGCCTTTAGTTCTGGGCTATGTCTCCCTAGCCTTCTTGCCAGGAATCAAATTCATGAACCCATTTTATTAGTGTTGGTTCCAAACGAGGCTACTCTCTGAAACACATCTATAGTCAACAGAGAGGAAAAACAAAGGTATCAGACAACCAGTAAGCTGGAGTTGATTGCCTGTGGGGCTTGTCTCCAGGTGCTTGTCCCAGAGCGGATTTGATGGTAACCTAGAACTCTGTTGCTGTGGTGGGTTGGGCAGTCCAGAACACCCATAGCCTCTCTGTGAACCATTTTAAAACAAACACACAAACAAACAACACCCAAACTCTTTAGAAGCAGCTTCCAAACAGCTCAAGTTTCGGGTTTCACTGGGGGATGAAAAGGGGGCAGGGCTGTCCTGGCTGCAGCCTTAATGAGCCTGGTTTACTAGACCAGCTTCCTGTGAGGCTCACTGTGGTTGAGAATGATTACAGAGCCCAACTTCTTATTGACAGAGGCTTTCTAAACCCCCATGTCTGCTCATGCCTGCATCTTGGAGATAACCTCCTTGAGCCTTGTTGGCTGTTACAGACAACCAGATGTTGGCTTCTGACTAGGATCCCCAACTCTGTCAGAACCTCAAGATCTGGCTCTGGGGGGTCAATGCAGGGTCTGGGAGGGTCTTCTCTGCTGCATTTCCATTGAGACACATCGGCTAGGATCCCCAACTCTGTCAGAACCTCAAGATCTGGCTCTGGGGGGTTATGCAGGGTCTGGGAGGGTCTTCTCTGCTGCATTTCCATTGAGACACATCTGTACCAGTTTCCTTTTCTGAAGGCCATATCACTTTGTGTATGTTACCTACATCCTTGCTCTCCTCTCTCTATGCCTACTGCTCTCCCACAGGCAATATACACCAGGCCCATGTGGCTACTCCTTAAATGAGGCTAGTCCTGGTTCAGATTTCCTCTGTGTGTCTATGTATGAAGTGCATATCAAATTTTGAAGGTGAAATATATTATTTAAATTTTTATCTAAATAGCTTGATGAAATGGTTGCATTTAAATATATTTCAAGCAAAAAATAAAAATGTGAAATTATGAGAATACCTCTGCCAGCCAGGGAATACTGCCACCCACAGTGGGCAGGTCTCCATACTCCTCTTAAAGTCATCAAGATAATGACCCATAGGAATGTCAGAATCTGATCCCTGAGGTAATTCAGGATTCTGTCAAGTTGACAGCACTACCACAGGCCTATTTGGGAACATGTCGTAGAAGGATAAACTTTGTGCAGCCACATACATGCCATGCTTCCTACTTGCCAGGAGGTGATGTGGGGTGCCTTTTTGTATGCTGCAAATATGTGTTGCTTTTATTGGTTGACGAATAAAGCTGATTTGACCAATGGCCAGGCAGAATAGAGCCAGGTGGGAAATCCAAACAAAGATATGGAGAGAAAGGAAGCAGAGTCTGGGAGATGCCATGTAGCCTCCGAAGGACTTAGATGCCAGAATATTATCAGTAAGCCACAGCCACGTGGTGATACATAGATTAGTAAAAATGGGTTCATTTAATTGTGAGAGCTAGTCAGTAATATGCCCGAGCCATTGGCCAAACAATTATAATTAATATTATGCTTCAGAGTGTTATTTTATAAGCAGCCGTGGGACCAGGTGAGACACATAAAAGGTACCAACTACAAGGAGGTGAACAACTTTGGTCAATACACACTCCTACTACCATGATAGTCTGTTTTGCCACAGGCCCAAAGCAGTGAAGCAGGCTAACTAACCCCTCTAAACTGAACCCCCAACCATGAACCCAACAAGCATTTCCTCCCTTAAAGTGTGTTTCTCTTGAGTATTTGACCTAGTATCAAAGACTAACACAGCAATAATCTTTGACAGTTTATTTTCTCTAAAATGCTAACTCGTCATTGACAAGTTGTAGGACAGTGCTTCTGACCTGCCAGTGTGTTCTCTGTTTTTCCTAGAAATTCACAGGTGGAAGGAAGACTTTTGAACTGTATGTCACCGGCTCTGTGGTAAGATGTTAGTGGCTGTCACTCAACACTGAGTCCTGGGAACGACTCGTGGTTAAAATGCTGTGATGCAAGAGTGAGGATCAGAGTTCATATCCCCAGAAACCCACATAAACACCAGGTGGGCAGGGTAGCCCCACTGTCATTCCTGCCTCAGAAGAAGGAAGCAGAAGGTCCCCAGAGCAAGTTGGCTAGCAAGAGAGCTCTAGTTTTTTGATTGAGAGACCAACCTCAATGAATTAGGAAAAAGAGCTACAGCAGAGGATTTCCACTTTCAGTCTCAGAGCCCCAAAAGCACAAGCACACACATATACATGTGTGGGATTTTTTCCAGCAGAGGATTTCCAGTTTCAGTCTCAGAGCCCCAAAAGCACAAGCACACACATATACATGTGTGGCTACACATATACAAACACAAGTGTGAGCACACACACACACACACACACACACACACACACACACACACACACACACACACTGGAAACGGATGAACAAAGCAATTCAGCATGCCCAGGATTATTCTTCATCCTCCACTTGACGTTTAAAGAGACTCCTGTCCACTGGCTACTGGATCCTGGAATAGACGTGAGTAGGCAAAGACAGAAAGGCGTGATGGAACTGCATGATGCGGGGAAATCCGACAGCTACTGGCTGGTCACTTCTTTTGTTCTCTCTTGGCTGTTGGAACAGACACTGATAGGCAGTAGCTGAAGTGGACAGCACTGCAAAGTGGCCTGATCAGATTCCTCAGCCTCTAGGTCACTGGGCAGAACGGCGCCTGGCCTGGCTGGAGCCTCTGTTCCTCTCATGTGACCTTTAGAGGTGTGACCAGTGGATCTGCACTTGTGACTCTGGAAGCCTGTGCTGTGAGTGTCTGGGTATGCTGCACACAGGCAAAGTATATGCTGGGCATTCACTAACAACTAGACAAACTAGCAGCAAGTGCTCACAAATACTTCTCCTTTCCTGTATGCCCCCCCCTCTTTCCTTTCTTCAGAGACCCTGGTACTTGTGTTCCTCTGAGAAAGAATAGATGGGTAGGTGGGTGAGGTGCTTGTGTCAAACTGGAAAATATTCACCTTTAAAATAAAGCTACTTTGGCCATTATGATTTATCTGTATTCCCAGACAAGCCGCCCAAGATGTTAAGCATTATTCTGCAGTAAAGAAATTAAAAACAAACAAACAAACAAACAAAACACCTCAGTGGCTTAACAGCAAGTTGACGTTAGTGTCACAGCAGACTTACTCTGCATTCGTTGATATTATAGATCTTTCTTTTACAATCATATAAAAACGATTTTATCTTAGCACAAAGAAAGGTCATTCTATATGTACATTTTGCTGCTGATGAGTGGTCATGCTTCTGTTTGTACATGGCTCCTTCCGACTTTCATTTTCTTCTCCATCAGTTTCACCTCTTCCCCTGAATGAACTGTGAACATCTTTCCATACCTCTTTCCCTGTGCTCGTTTCATTATGTCCTCACACCTTTACATACAAATCACATAACTTCTATCTTAGTACATCTTAATTAAGTAGACTACGGTTGCATAACATTTTTTAAACTATTTAATGCCAATGACTGGAAATCTCACAAGGACATTATCTGTAGCACTGGCCCATCCTTTTTCATGACTGTATAATGTTCCATTATGTGGAATATTCCCATTTTCCAACCATCTCTAGTGACAAGCATTCTCTGTGTTTCTTTTGTACACTATGAATAATGCCTGCCCATCTGTTCTTTTGTTGTGGTTGGGGTTTTTTGTTTGTTTTTGTTTTATTTTGGTGTCAATAGTTTCACAGATATAAGCTATGTACCCAGGAGTAAATTCTAAATATAAAGGTATATGTGTATGTATAGATATCATTATATTACTTTCTAAAAAGGCCATGCAGTTTTTACTTGAGTAAGATCTGTGAGGATGCCCACCTTACTTCATTACTGCATATTCTTACAGAAATATCTTACCAGTGTGGTAGCTACACATTGAAAATGCGTGGCTTTGGACACCAGGTTCCTAACCACTTTGGGAAGCCAGACACACATACTCATTAAGTCTGTTTTCTTTTGTAATGAACAAAATAGGTTACGAAAGACTCCAAAGTAAAATTTATTATGCTAGATGTAGTCATCAAATATTTAAAAAACAATTTTATATAGAAATGTGGATGTGTGTAATAACATTACAACTATCTACATCTACTTGTAGGCTTGATATAGCTACCATAAATTCACATGACAGTTGACTAGAATCCATACTTGAAGATGAATACACCAACTGTAACACACTGAGATTGGTCACATATACTTGTAATTAATGAATTCATCTCAGTTACACATTAATGGAAATAAGATGCCACATTTGTTTCTGCTCCCTTCACTTGCTTCTTGTCTTATAGTTGGTCACAATGCTAAGTGACTTAGGGCAGCCAACCCACCCAGATCTGTGTCTTTTGACTCATAAGGTCATAAGTCCATCTACCCTTTTGGGGTGTATAAATGACTTGTGCATGAAGATGGTACCCTAGCCAAAGCAATGCTTGGCCCATGTCAGGGTGGGAAATTGTATAAGTGACACACACTTCCCAGCCCACAGAGTAACTACAGATCCTCTCCTTTCTAGAAAGTGCCACCAGCCCAGAGACAGACTGGGACAAATACTTGGCCTCAGGCAATGCTGGAGCCCAGGGAAAGCCTTCCTTGCATGTGTGTTTTCTCACAGAATTGTAAAGCCAGGCAGCTCTCAGTGCCAGAGGCTGAGGAGTTTGTGTGTTTCTGGACTATTCATTAGTGATTACATACCCCCC